GCCCTACAGTTTAATTTACTGGATTTTATTTTTTTGCCTTTTTAGATCTAAAGAAATCCAATACACGTTTTCTGAAAACCCATCTGCACGCTAAACTACTATCTGTCTAAGCAATCTGCACATTTTACTAGGGTCGTACTATCATCAGTTGTTTTGTAGAGAGGAAGAAAGTGAAGCACAGAAGTGTTTAATAACAGGCAGCTTTCGTACAGCTAGTGAGAGATGAAGCCAAGATTCACACTCAGGGAGTCTAACTACGGAGCTCCTGCTTTTATTCATTAAGATATAGGGACCGTGAAAGTATTTTAAGTAAGAAAAAAAGAGATGGATTTAATAAATCCACCTTATAAATTGTATAATCAATTCACGTTTTAATAACAAAGAAAATCAAGACCTGTGGAATTTTATTTGCCAAAAAAGTAACTAGAAATATTTCTTCTTTTAAAGTAGGTAAATTCTTCCAAGTTCACAGATAACCAGGCCCCTTACTTTCAATTAAGCTGCCACTTGGCCTTATTATCCACCTTACCACAGTGCTCCACAGAGTTAGCAGCACTGGACTGGTGCTGATATTTAAGACTTCATCATTGACTTGTCACTTCTACATCAAACTTTCAACATGAAGGTTCAGAGAAGTAAATAGTAGTTACTAAAACTTTTAGTGAAAAACTCACACATGATCAGTTTCAGTTTCTACTGCTTACTTATTATAGATTAGTGTTAAAAAAACAAACAATAACAACCTGGAGAATTTATTTATTAAGTATTTTTCTGTATTTTCTATATATCTGGTATTATAGACATTGGGCATAAACAAAGGAAAACACACAGTGGTGTGTTAGCTAAGAAGCAGGTGAGTACAATGCTGTCCAGGAAGCAGGGGTGTGAGGCTCAGGCAGCCCTCGTTTCCATTCCGTCTTTGTGACTATGTGGTTTTAAATTAGATAACATTCTGAGGTTTGTCCTTATCATCAGTAGAACTAGAGAAATATTACCTATATTTGTGTCGTGTTTTGGATTTACTGAGATGGTAAAAACTTAGAAAATGAATTATACATAGTATTAAGTTTTAACATTGAACTTAGTAAATGTCTGGGTTACCTACTACTAACAGATGGAATACAACAGTGGGTGTCCCAGAAAGAGTTCTCATCAAGCCAGTGTATGAGCTTTAAGCAACTGAGCTGAGTATAGGGTGGGGTTATTAGCACTAGCAACAACAACAGCACCAATATCATAAGTGTGGTTTCCAACCTGGGTCAGAGGAACGGTTTGGGGGTGAGAACAATACTTAGTTCTCATCCAAGCACTGTGTGTTTTTACTGATTCTTCACTGGATAAATAGCCCATGAATGTCCGTAGTGCTAAAGCAATACTTCCCATATGCTCCTGCTTTTCCTCCCTGACTCATGTGGAGTGACTATTTTTTTTTTCTAATACTATTTCTAAATTTTATTCAAATCTGACATTTATGGTGGCTCAAACTTCATTAGTTAAATGAATATTCATTGAGCTTATTATAAGCAAAACCCTGACGTATCTGCTACTACTCCAGCCTATCTGCTGTGAAAATACATGTATAAAAATCATTAAAATACATAGTTCTTTCTTATGAGGGGCTTACCTTAGAGAAAATGAGCACATATTCTCCCATGTTCCCAAATATCCACAGATTCCGTTAAGTGTAAATCATCATACATTTATAATGAATGTAATAAAAGTGTACCACACAGCTTTCAAGAAATGAATGGTGTTTCTATAGGCAGTAGGTAATGACTTTCAGGATGCAATACGTGAAAATAAAGGTAGGAAAAAAATGTGTACTGCAAGTTTTTATTCCTTTAATAAACAAATTATGTGACTGTATCTCTATATATGTATTTATAAGTTTAGCTGTATTAAATATGAGAAGAACTACACCAAAACATTTAAAAGTCATTATATGTGAGAGTAGGGAACAGATTGAGCATAGAAATAGAAGGTGGCCTTCTGTTAACATATTCTTATCGTAAATTTAACTGTAGAACAATGTAAACATTTCATACAATGATAAAATAATATTGAATTTTCAAAGCAGTTTATTAAAAATATAAATAAAGATAAACAAAACATGTATTTAAATGAACAATTATTTGGTGGCATCATTACTTAGAAACTATCTCTGATGACTTTTAGAAAGGAATCTTGCAATCTTGCGTTCCTAAGAAGATGTACCTTGAAAATAAAAGGCCTGCCTCCAGATGTCATTAATTTTCAGGAATCATATTTCTGGTGGTGATGTTAGTATTGTTATTCCTTTTTTAGTTTTTGATTATAAGTGGCTTCTTATGTATGCTTATTTCCTTGATAGCTTTATTGAGGTATAATTTACATGTGACACAACGCACGCATTTAAGCCATACAATTGTATACATTTTGGTAATGTATACACTCATGAAACGATCCATATAATTAAGACAATGAGCATATCCACCATGTCAAAAATTGTCTCCTGACCCTTTTTGTCTTTCTTGTTCACATCTCTCTACACCACCTCCTCCATCTCCACGCATACCTTGATCTGCTTTTTATCATACTATCTACTCTACACTTTTCAGGGGAGGGATATCTAACTTTCCTCAGTCAACATAATGATTGTGAGATTCCTATGCATTGCTATACATATCAAGGTGTCATTCACTATACCACTGAATAGTATTCCACTGTGTGGCTGTGCCACAATTTACTTGTCCATAGATCTGGTAATGAACATCTACGTTCATTTGATTTTTTAACTGCTACCAATAAAATTGTTATGAAATTCCATGAGCAAGTTTCATATAAACATATGCTTTCATTACCCTTAAGTAAATACCTAGGAGTGCAATGATTGAATCATGTAGTATGTGTGTTTCTAATTATTTTTTTTAAAAAGTGGTAGCCTCAAGAATGGAAGAAAAAGTATTCAGTGTACTCAGTCTTACTATGAAACCAATTTATAGCTTTCTTATGAAATCTATAACCCAATTATAGCCCAAGAAGAAGAGAAAAGGGGAGAGGGAGGGGAGGGGAGGAGGGAGGATGGATGGAGGGAGAGTAATTGGCAGGACCACACCTATGGTGCATCTTACAAGGGTATATGTGAAATTTGCTAGGTGTAGAATATAAATGTCTTAACACAGTAACTAAGAAAACGCCGTGAAGGCTATGTTGACCAGTTTGATGAAAGTATTTTAGATTGTGTGTAAAACCAGCACATTGTACCCTATGATTGCATTAATGTACACAGCTATGATTTAATTAAAAAAAAAAAAGTGGCAGCCTGTTTCCAAAGCAGCTGGGCATTTTACATTTCTATCAGTAGTGCAGGAGATATCCATTTTGTCTGCATTTTTGCCAGCACTTGGCAAGTTTAAACATTTAATCTTCTGTTTCAAACAGGTGTGCAGTGAATTTTATTGTGGTTTCAATTATCATTTTCCTAATGATTAATTCCCTTAGAAAACCTCCTCAATGTTTCTGGTTGCTTTTAGCAAATAGGCATTCTTAAAATGTATTTGAATGCTTAAATGTAATGACTAACTCTGACATACTCAATAGAATTAATAGGATTTGAGCTGTGTGGTACTCTTTTATTATATTCACTATAAAACAAAATGTAATGGCAACACATTCTAGTTGTTATTCCACTTACAAGATTATTTTTTTCCAGTGATTGCCATTGACACCTACAGACTAGAGGGGTAAAAAATTGTCTGATCATCTGGTGGTGGATCCCACAGCTAACACTCACCTTAGCTGTTGCAGATGTCCTGTGTTACTTTCCCTCCTTTGGAAGAAATGAGACTTCTATTTTCATGCCATTTTATTAACTAAATTTACCTAGTACAAGGATTCAAGAAAAAAATGACAAAGAAAATAAAAGGCAAGGATATAAAACAGGCAACAAAAGAGATTCAAATAAGAAATAACATGATGGGCTCGTCACCTGTGGCTCAAGCTGCTAAGGCGCCAGCCACATACACCTAAGGTGGCGGGTTCGAATCCCCAGCCCGGGCCCGCCAAACAACAACGATGGCTGCAACCAAACAAATGGCCAGGCGTTGTGGCGGGCACCTGTAGTCCCAGCTACTTGGGAGGCTGAGGCAGGAGACTTGCTTGAGCCCAGGAGTTGGAGGTTGCTGTGAGCGTGATGCCATGGCACTCTACCCAGGGGGATAGCTTGAGGCTCTGTCTCAAAAAAAAAAAGAAAAGAAAAAATAGAAGCGTAAATGGAAACAGCTAATAAAAAGTAAATAAAATAAGAAAAAGTGAATGCAATTTAGAAAGAGCTCAAAGACTGTGAGATTGAGTCTCTTTCAGAATCTAGCAGAGCCAATTAATAAAGCCCCCTTGAGGAGAACAGTGTATGGAGGGAAAAGTGGGGTCCGCCATGAACTCCTTTTGCATGCTATGGACTTGTATGACTTGCCCAAGCCCCTATTGCCCCATGTTTTGTTTCCATATAATAGAGGTAATGATACCTGTCTCCAATGATTGTTATGAGCATTAAATGAAATGGAAGGGAAGGGGAGGGAGAGGGAAAGAGAGGGGGGTGGGACGATAGAAGGAGTGTTGGTAGGGGAATCACACCTATGGAGCATATTGCAAGTACAAGTTGGATCTATCAGGTGTAGAGCATAAATGTCTTAATCCTGTAATTGGGTAAAAGTGGTGAAGGCTATGTTGCTTAGTAGGATGGAAGCATTCCCATTTGTACAAATAATCAACACATTGAATCTTATGATGGCATAAATGTATTTGTTATCTATGTACGAATGACTTAATAAAAAATAAAATAGAATAAAAAAGTAAATAAATGATAGAAATAAATAAATAAAGTGTATGGAAGATCTTGGTGCTCAGCCACCACTGTTCACTAATGTGTGCCAGAGGTTTATTAGGCAAACTTGAAACTTCAGTTAGCACTAAGAGAAGCCTTACTATAGAGTCCATTGGCAAAAAGTCTGAGTTGACATGGGTTGGGCAAAAGCAGCGATTTATTCATGTGTTACAAACATGGTCTTACAAACATCATACAGAGCTGGCACAAAGGAACAGACACCGTCGCGTACTCCATGCTTCCTTCCAAATCACTTCTATTGAGTTACAACATCAGAACAAGTCAGTTACTGAATTACACAGTTTCTCAAACATGTATACCTCCCGCTTAGGGTGGCTAGGTTGGCTAATCAGACAAACAATTAATTTACATGTTTAATACAGTGCAGAATTAGTAACAGAATTCAAGATATTCACATTGATATTGTAATACATTATAAAACAGTACAACTTTCAGAAATGATGAGATCATTGATCTCCCTGGCTGTTTCAATCCTGTTCTTCTATTTCCTTTCTTTCCTTAAAACCACTTCCCAACAGTTTTACTCAACTTTTCACACTCAAAAACACTTTAAATTTTAAAAGCTAAAAACTATTTACAATTTTTTCTTGTAATGTTAAAAGTATTTGTTGTTAGTTTCATTGTTCCACTTAAAAAAAAAAAAAATCTCCCTCTCCCAACAGCTATACTTTAGCTGGTACCACCATTAACTTCTGGCTGCTGCAATGAATACCTATCCTTGACCCTCACAACTTTTCAGAGCTCCAAAATATATTCCATCCCATGGCCCAGGATTCGAAAATTACATATGTCAGCGGGCCATGTGCCTTCCCCAGCTACACACTGACTATCCTTAGTTCACTTCAGGTTGCTTTCACAGAAATGGCAAGTGGACCAAGATGTTGTGAGGTGACTTTGCAGTGGAATGAAGACAATGATTGAGGAATACTCTTTTTTTAATCTCAAACTTGTCTTAAAGCACAGAAAAGAGGTTGATTTTCGATCTTTGTACATACAGAATGTCATACATTTCTTTTTTACATTAGGCATAGTCATAAAAAGCATATGTAAGTTATTTGGAAAATGCATTGTCATAGAATTTACAAACACTGCGATATCAAACACATTTTCAAAAACTGCTAAAGTACTGACACAAAACCTGACCCCAAATGTAAATTTTTCAGTAGATTTTATTTCTAACTTGCATATTTAGTAATTCAAGCACACCCAAGTTCCACTCACACTTCTCTAAGAACTCAAATACAGTGAATACACTCAAGTTAGTTGTCTCCAAGTGATCACAGGGTGCTGCTTTACACTAACTGGTTTTGAATGAATTTCAGAACCCTGGCACTGAAAAAGGATACAAAACACAAGTCTGTAAACTGTTCTACAGACAACAGCTCAAGACAAATTTGCCTAGAAAAGATAATGAAACACATTCTATTTTGTGCTAATTTGACAGTCTGTTAGTATATTTTGTGTGAACATATGTCAATTATATTAGACTTGCTCTAACTATTTTTTAGTCTTATTCCTTTGTTGGGTTAAGTAACACTTTCTGTCTGGGAATGTATAAAAGTTCACGGTCTTTTCTTTTTTTTCTTTTCTTTTCCTTTCAAATAGTAGCTCAGTCTTTTCTCTGGGGAAAAAAGAAACCAGTAAAATAAAGATTAGGTGGCCATGCCCATTCTGGGTACAAAGGATGGCCTTGAAAGTACATTTCCATACTGTACAATTCCAAAAAGAAAACACCACTCCTAACTGGATTTCTAGCTAAAGTTTACTTTATCCAAAAGATAGTTCTACAACTTCATGAAGGTAAATAAGGGTTTCTTAGGCCACACTGAAGCTTGTGACAGGCAGTGAATAATTCAAGGCCATGGTTCTTATGTGAGGTTATATTTTACAACATTTTGACTCACATGTAACCTTAGGGGGGAGAAAAATCGTATTTCAGCCACAGTGTTTTCAACTCAGCCCTTTGATAAAATAATTTTTCAGCTTGTTCACTATCCTCTTAAAATGCACCCAAAGTTATTCCTTTCATGATAAAATTGTATCAAATAATTAAAAACCAAAGAGAAATGACCAGATACTTTTATATGAAGGACAAGCATTTACATATAACATAATTAATAAAAACAAACTAGAGAACATTTCCTTAATATCTTTGGATTTAAAGAAAAATTTATTTCCCCAACCAGAAGAAAAATGGATGAATTTTCATAAGAGAAGTCATTCTTCTCATTCTCAGATTCAACGGTCACATGGATTTAGTGTGACATGTGACAATGGAATTGTCACATTTCTTATTTGGGATTCTAGTGCAGTAGCCATAAAATGCTTGCCTATTCCTATTTATATCACTGGTAACCTGTAGGGGAAATTGAATATCTTATGAAAATTTATCCAACTCCTCTGAGAAAGGGGGAAATTATCATGATACACACTTGTAGTTACTTTCTGGTCTACTAATTCAATCCATTTCTTAACAACAACAATAACAAAAAGATAGCTTTCTGTCACAAGGTTGCAATCCAATAGAGAAAGAAAGAAACTTGCTCCTTGCCTAGTAAAAATCCTTAAGTTCCAAATCATTGCGAGATTGCTAACCATCACAGAGCATGTGCCACTTAGCAATCTGTCTCCTGGGGTAGTCACAGATCTCTTTCCAGTGCTCACCACCGGTTCCTTCTGCTGCTGCACCCAGGACCAACCGCCCAATCACCTCATTTCGGGATCCCCTTTCAGAATCCAAAACCAGAAATTCAACACTTATTTCTTCGAGGCCCTCACAAGGAATATCAAAGACAAACAGCTCATTGAACACTGCATTGGGGGTGCATTTCTTCACATGAGTCTTCTTCTTGGAGATTCTCTTTTTGGCGTGGTACAGGTTCACTTTGACGTAGGGATCTGAAATGGTACATAACAGGGATTAAAAG